CTTCCTCAGGTTAATTTACTCTGATAACAGAAAACTTAGATTTACTGAATATAAATATACAACTGAAGAGCTGAATAAGACAAATTTATGTCGTGGAGTACAGGGGCAAAGTGACTGCTTCCATGCCCTCTGGAGACTGGCCCAGAATTCCAATCACTTCAATATGTCATCAACTCCGAATTTCCTCATTTAAGTTTATAGTAAACCACAGCGGGTAGGGCGTTTGCCTTGCACGCAGCCAACATGGCCGACCTGAATTCGATTCCTCCGCCCCTCTTGGAGAGCCCAGCAAGCTACCGAGAGAATCTCACCCACACGGCAAAGCCTGGCGAGCTCCCCGTGACGTATTCAATATGCCAAACACAGTAACAACCAAGTCTCACAACGGAGACGTTACTGGGCCCGCTTGAGAAAAATCGATGAACAACGGGAGGACAGTGACAGTGATATGTGTGTGTGTATATATCTATATATATATATGATAATAAGCTTGGATACAGTAAAGACTTAGAGAAGAAATAAGGCAAAAACAATTTTGGCTGGGGTGGGGGGTGGGTAGGACTTTAGCAGTTCTTGGGGACGAGATGCAGTGCCAGGGAATAAACTGGGTTCTTTTTTTTCTTTTTGAGTCATACCCGGAGATGCTCAGGGGTTACTCCTGGCTCATGCACTCAGGAGTTACTCCTGGTGGTGCTCTGGGAACCATAATGGATGCTGGGAATCGAACCAGGGTCGGCCATGCTGGCTGCGTGCAAGGCAAATGCCCTACCCGCTGTGCTATCGCTCCAGCCCCTAAACTGGGGTTTTTATAAGTAAAAACAAATTTGTGTGTGCAATATTTCAAAAAAAAAGGATTAAACTGCAATTTCTGCCCTGCTCTTCATGAATTTCAATTAATAAATGCTTCATCTTGGTGCATTGTTTTAGTATTGGCAAAATTAAAAACATAAGCAGGAGTATAAACAAGTTGCTAAGCAGGTAACTAAGAGGTAGGACCTCTGAGTGACCCATTCTGGGGATTAGGCAAAGATTAATGGGCTACAAATCATGCTATGATTCAAAACAGAACAAGCAGGAAGGGACAATGGGCTACTAAGACAATTAGTAATTAAAATATCCAAATGGAACTTACAACACAATGCGCTAAACACAAAAATTCCTAGCAATAGGGCCTCATTGCTCTATCTTCTAGGTACCCTTCCTGCAAAGGGAAATTGTGGTCAAGTGACCAATTGTATGCCCTTCTTGTCTCACCATTTTCCATGAGATAGAATAGCTTCTATAAAAGGGGGAAGGTACTTGTCTTGCAAGCTAACGGCCCTGGTTTGATCCCTGGCGCCATATAAGTTCTCTTGGATCCTGCCAGAAGTGATCCCTGAGCACAGTCAGGAGTAAGTCCTGAACACTGCTGGGTGTGGCCCCCAACTCCACAAAGTATTCTGAAACCCTGTTCATGGCGCAATTTTAGGTGTTTGCTTAGCTGTGGTCTGTCTTGACATTAAAGATGGTTTTGGTGTGATTGATTAAGCAAATTCTGATACAGCATTTTAATTCTGTTGGTTGAAAGGGGGTCAGAAATAGTACATGGGTTAGGGTACTTGCCTAGCATGTGACTAACCCAATTCCAATCCCCTCGTACCATGCATGGTGCTCTGAGCACTGCCAGGAGTCACTTGGGAGCAGAGAACTAGGAATCAGCCACAGTAATTCGAGAAGGTGGCTTCTCACAGGGGAAGGTCCCACGCCCTCTAGGCTACAGGGTTCAGGTCAGTCTATCTTAACTTTCCTTGCTAAGTTTTTGGTGGGAGAAGAGGAGCAAAGTTGTAAGGAACTTTAATTATTTGATAACAAAAACATGTGCCCCCACCACTCCAGCCTTTTCCTCACTTGAATGTTTCATTTCAAAACTTGTCCCTGTTATTTCTCCAACAATAAACTGACAAATAGTGTGTGATTTTATTCTGGTAATGGCTCCAGCTGCTTCTGCTCTGGTAAGCTCTATCTGCCTACTTAACTCTACAGTTGGGGAGGCAGGATTTATCTTTAAAAAAAAAAAGAATCACAGTGATAAACACATTTACAAAATTGTTAGTTCATGATTGTATTTCAGTCATATAATGTTCCAACACCTGTCCCTTCATCAGTGTACTTTTCACCAATGGTCCCCATTTGCCTCCTACCCTCTGGCCCCTGTCTGCCACTGTATAAGGCCTCTCTCTCTCTCTCTCTCTCTCTCTCTCTCCCTTCCTTCCCCCTTCCCCCTTTTGAGCCTTACGGTTTGCAATATAGATAATGATTATGAGGCATATCCCTTTACCTACTTTCAACATTCAGTAGCAGGAATTATCCTTATGACCTCAGTTCTTTAGTAGATTTAATAATGATTATTTGTATTTCATTTGTTCATATTTTCTTTGTGATACTATGATAGGCACAGTCACAATTCCTGACAGAAAACCTTCTAATCCCTTGACTTCTACTGAATTGCATATTACCTAATATAACATCACTTAATATTCTATCTGATTTCTTTCCCTTGTCATGATGTTTTTGATCCATCCATGCATCAAGATTTAATTCCTTCACATTGCTTCCTGGTTTGCTCTACCATGGTTCCAAGGCACTCATCAGCTGATGGACATTGGCACTGTCTCTCCTCCGGCTACTGGGAGTAGGGCTACTATGAACATTCATGGATAAGTTTTTGTTTGAATAGCTATCAGAACTGCTGGAGCATATAATAAATCTGTTTTCTTTTTTTTTTTTTTAGTTTGTTGTTTTAATTTGGGATGTGTTTGATGCTGGTGGTGCTCCCCTGGCTTGGTGTTGGAGGTGAGGTCACTCCAGAAAAGCTTAAGAGGATACCATGTGATACTGGGAAGAAAACATGATTCTGTGCATGCAAAGCCTGTGCATGAGCCCTTTGATCCCAGGTTCAAAAGCTCTTTATGTTTGTTTTTGAAGAACTGCTACACATTTCTTTTGGCTATACCATTTTACATTATAGTGTATAGGATATTTCCAATTTCTCGACCACATTGCCAACAAAGAATAAGAAACTTAGCAGAAGAAGAAAACACTCTCAAGGGAATTGTATTAAATCATACAAACCTCTGGCAGCCGAAAACTTCCAGAACCCATCCGCAGCCATACTCAAGGCCACTCTCCATGACTGGATGAGCCTCATGCTCATTGAAGGTGGAAGGAACCGGCAGAGGAACTCAGGTATGTGGGACCAGTGGCTGAGATCTCTAAGCCTGCTCTGATCGGGACTGGGTCTCCTCCATCCAGATCCCCAGTTTTCCAGTAGGTTGGGAGTCACACCCACAAATTGCCCCTAGTGCCATGTAATCTCATCAATGGCCAAGAACCAGAAACTATAAAATAAAACTCCAGCAGAGAGCAATTCAGTATTTCCTGGTGGCATTTGTGGCCGCACGACATCTTATACTCTAGCCCACTGACGTGCCTAAAGTAGCACATATTTGTTTGTTTTTAACATACTTGCTTGGATTCTCTTATATAAGGGCTTAATTTGCTCCAGAATGAAATACAACAACCTTCATACACTTCCCTCTTATTGTGGTGGGAAGATGCTAGCTGGTTGGGTTGGTGTTTAAATATTATCTGTAATGAACTATTGTGAACTACTTTATAAAAATAAAATTGAAAAAAAATCTTACAAACCTGACACAGATGGGGTGCTATAGAATAAAGCCTTTATATTGTTTTTATTACATCATCTTAGTACATGCAAAGCATTCTCATTATGGGTTTCATCTGCATTTCTCATGTAAGTGACTGATACTATCAATATATTAATTTCCTTAAGTTTATTGGCAAAATTTTTTTTGGGGGGGGGAAAATATCTATTCAAGTCCTTTGCCTATTTTTTTAAAAAAAGATGTGATGCCCAGGAATGTTCCTATTTCAGAGCAGGAGATGATAGCTAAAGGAAACAACTGGCTGCTGACTAGCTTTTTTTTTTTTTTTTTTTTTGCTTTTTGGGTCACACCCAGCGATGCACAGGAGTCACTCCTGGTTCATGCACTCGGGAATTACTCCTGGCAGTGCTTTACGGTGCTCGGAATTTTTCGGTGCTCGGGGAACATATGTGATGCTGGAAATCGAACCCAGGTCGGCCTCGTGCCAAGGCAAACGCCCTACCCGCAGTGCTATTGCTCCAGCCCCTGCTGACTGGCTTTGAACCAGAAACCACCTTACTCATTTGACGAGCTTTGTTTTGAAGACTCCCGAGTATTACTAATTTTAATTTTAGAAAAGTTGGAACTGGTAAAATTCCCTCTAAAGGGTTCTAAAAGTCTTGCTGGATGAGGTAAGCCACCCTGCCATCATTCTGGAAGATGAGCAGCAGAATAGAACACAGATTTATTTTCTGCTTAGTATACAAGTTGTTACTAAATGTTTTAAAAAAGGGTGAACACCTAAAAGCACCCATATGGACTGGTTTTAGACCCACAAAGATTATCAGCATACATGTTAAGTGTTAAGATGTTTAATTTATAAAAGTGTATACAGCAATACTTGGGGTAGGACTTGAAACGATATTTAATTTCTACTTACTGACAAGATTAAGTATATTAACCGAGAAATACAAACAAAACTACATCAGAAACTGCTTTTGTTTGCTTTGGGGCCATACTGCAGAGCTCAGGGCTTATCCCGGCTCTATGCGCAGAGATCACTTCTGCATCGTGAGGACCACAAGGTGCTGGGGACAGAACTTGGGTCAACCCCAGCAACAGTTTTTGTAGAACACTGAACCTCTTTTCAGGCCTAAAAAAAGTATTAAATATACAAAAGAGTAAAGAACTGCTGAGATACTCAAAATTATGGCTGGATTTTGTTTTTACAAGTTTTAAAACCATGATATAGTTAAGCTTTGTACGGAAGTTTACTTGAAATGATAACTCCTCCTTTTTTAATCCTGAACATGATGGTGCAGGGTCTCAGGATGGCCAAGAAGATATCACTGAGGCTTCCTCTCACTGCTGAGAGCAAAACCGCTCTCAGTGGTTTCACTGACTAGCCACTTCCCATACTTCATATATTTCTAGCTTGTGGGCTGGTGAGAATTCTTCTCATTTAGCCACGGTCATTTAAAACTCTTATTAAAATACCTGCTAAGAGAATACCAACAGCAGCAGTGAAAGCTAGCCCGCGGTAGAAGATGAGCTGACGCACGGTCAGAACATTCCCGATGGTGGACAAGTCAGACTGGCTGCTTTCCTCTGCCAACACCAGCTGGACGTTTTGGCTCTCTGGCTGAATGACGTCAGGTAAAATCACTCCATCAATTACTTCTTTGTCCATCATAGGGAGATCTAGTTGTAGAGACCAGATTTACTTATGTGTGGGTTGCAGAGTACATTGCAAGGTTACAGAATACATTGCTAACGATTACTATCATTCATTGGCTTATGAGGACACCTACTGAAAACCTTCCAGGGAGGAACCCAGGGCTACCCTCCCAAACATCTGGACAAAGACAGGCTTATCAAGTGAAATCAGAGTCTCATACATGAAGCAACTTTAGCTATGCTATATGTTACAACGCTAAAGTCTTAGGTTAAAAAGTAAACAGAGAAAGTAATCTATTACCTGTTGGGGTAGGCATTGTCTCTTTCATCCTTTTCAGCCCAGCTCGGACCTGCGCCTAAAAGTATGTATCACATAAGCAGAGACTGTAATTCAAGTTGGGACAATATTTTTTTAGCTTCACTTAAGCTACTGCTGAAATGATTGCTGAAATTACAGAAGGAGAGTTTTTTTCTTTTTCATCAGTCTCAATGATAATTAAACACTTGAATATCACAACTTTTCTCAACTTGCAACAATACAAAAGACTTAAAAATTTTTTTTGCTTTAACTGCAAATTTCAATATTTTGCATTTGTGTCTTTAAGTATTCCTACACACAGGAATAAAGTATGAAGAAAAATGGTGTTCCTTTTCCAGCTTAATGTCCCCTATACTTAGTTTCCTCAGCAGGTCCAAGAGAAGACAGGAAAAAAACATATTACACTTTAGAAAATAAACTGGGAATTGAAACCTAAAGGGTGGTCAAGATTAGGTGACAAGATTATATAACTAAACTCACACTCATGTCTCCTATCAATACTGTCTCAAGATAACTTCTCCTCTTTCATTATTTGTAAAGCTTCAGCACAATAAAAAGGGTTCATAATTCAGCTAAAGGCATCTTTAAGGATGAAACGCCACTGACCAAGCAAGTGGAAACAAGCATAAACAAATGGGACTACATTAAACTAAGAAGCTTCTGCACCTCAAAAGAAACAGTGACCAAACTACAGAGAGAGCCCATGAAATGGGAAAGAATATTTACCCAATACCTACCTATAAGGGGCGAATATCCAGGATATACAAGACATTAATAGACCTGTACAAGATAAAATCTCCAACCCAATCAAAAAATGGAGAGAAAAAAAGAATAAACTTCCTCAAAAAAGAAATACAAATGGCCAAAAGGCACAAATGAAAAAATGAATTACACAAATACAAATGAAAAAAATGCTCTACATCACTAATCATCAGGGAGATGCAAATCTAAACAAAGAGAGGGATACTTGGGATGTTGGTGGTGGAAAATGTGCACTGGTAAAGGGATGGGTGTTCAATCATTGTATTACTGAAACTCAAACATGAAAGCTTTGGAACAGTATCTCACAGTGAATCAATTAAGAAAAAAAGGGCTCATAATTCAAGAGAGATCCATATGGTCAGGTTTCTGACCCTCTCTCCAGGGTTCTGTTTCCACATCATAGTGCTTTTAAGAAACTGAGGCTTCAGCATTTTTTTCAAAAAGAGGCCTGAAAACTGATAACAAGTTAGGATAAGCAGAAGACAAGCTATTGTTTTTCTAAGACTATTACACCAAAATATTTTCTAAGCTAATATTATTTTTCAGGCTGAGTGGATACTAAATTTACCTGATATTCATTTATTATTAATTTCTAGATAAGTTTTTTAAATTTTGGTTTGAGGGCCTTATCTGTCAATAGTTAGAGACAACTCCTGGCACAGTGCCCAAGAGTTCCTTCTGGCAGACCTTGGTAGATCATTTGGTGCTGGGATCAAACCCTGGCATTCTTCATGCAAAGAATGCACTCAACCCTCTGAGGTATATTGTAGGATAACAGTTGGTTTGTCCTTTTCCCCTTGCTACAGGGAGCTTAGGTTTATTGGGTTACAACCATCACAGTGTTCCCGAATCATTCCCATTCCTCTGTGCTTATCTGTAACTTCTCCATAAAGATATGCTTTCTTCCCCAACCAGTTAATCAGCTTTTCCCCCTAATCAGAATCTGTTAATTTGTAAGGTCAGATCCTTCTAGGACAATGAACTTATATTGTAAGTTAATATTGCCTTTCTCCTCTCCTTAGTCTTATGAATAGTTTACTTTAAAACAATGTCCTTTTTGTGTAGACACAGGAAGACAGTTAATATTACGCTTTTGTAACTTGTGATTTAGTTGGCTCCGAATATTACTCACTCCTGGGCATCTGCTTTCTCGACTTAAGTCTCAGTTGCCCTTAGTTCCTAGCACCCCCAAAGCAGGGTCCCAACGAAAGACTGAATGGACCCAGGGAAAACTGTAAGTTACCCTGGCATCGAAATGGGCCAGGTCAAAGTGCCACAATTCTTATAACTATAAGAGCTTGATCATGGACAAATGCTATCATGATCCAAAAGTAACGACAATGAGACTAGGACCCTGCTAGGGATAGGAAAGACTAAACTCTCCTGACCACTGTAGTGTGAGATCGAGATGACCCCAGGAAAACAGTTCTATAAGCTTAATGTATATCTTACCGTGTCCATACAAAATGATTAATATTATAAATACTTATATGTTTGTTGGACAAGGAGAGGAGAAACACACCCATGGGATTCCACCCTTGGTGGGTAATCCTGCTGAAAGAGTATCTGTCCTAGAAACAAAACATCCCCTGAGGGAAAGAATTTTACCCCTATTGATTGTGACCACACCTATGTGTAAACCCCAACCCCTCATGCTTTGGGATTTAACTAGGCACAAGAGTGGGCTGGGGGTTCCAACTTCCAGAGCCAGAAGGAGAAAGGGGATTCCAGAGTGAGGAGAATGAAGGGGGATCGAGAAGGAGAATGAGGTAGCATGGGGGAGGAAGAAGCAGGAGAGTCAGAGGAGAACGGAGATGGGAATGAAATAAACTGCAGCTGACACCAACCAGCCTGGCCCTCATTTCCTTCCTTCGCCTGCCCATCACTATTGACCTCCCTGAGGTGGGGGAAGCGACCGGAGACTACTGAAGGCTATGGGAGAGATAGAGCGCGCTGCCCTCCTTCTGTGATTACACAGTATATCCCTAACCCCTCAGGGGATATGTGCTGAACTGGGATTCTTTCTGCCCCTACATCCCATGTTAAATGCATAACATGGTTCTGAGTGAGTCAAGCTTCAAATGTGTTTTCTTATGGTGACCTGTTACCATGTCCTGGGATAACTTAGCAACATCTCCAACAGACACTTGTTACCTTCTCTGCAGCTTCAATCCAGTTTATCCTGCAGATGTAGACCAAATAGAAAAGGGCTTGAAGGAAGACACAAACTATCAGTCCAGACCAGAGACCTGGGTGTGAAACAGATATCACAGTTCAGACTTTCCTCAGTTTTCTTTTTTTTTGGGGGGGGGGGTCTCACCCAGAGGTGCTCAGAGCTTGCTCCTGGCTCTGTGCTTAGGGATCACCCTGGTGGGCTCAGTGGACCATATGGGTGCTGGGGATCAACCCTGGGCCAGCCAAATGCAACGCAAATGCTGTACCTGCTGTACTATTGCTCCGTCCCAAGACTTCCCTCTGTTCCCATCCTCATTAAAATTCTACCCTAATTACTGTAGTTAAAAAGTAAACTTCAACTAAACTTACACCCCTAACATTTTAAATAAATAGGACTGGGGATTTACTCAGATTTGCCATGGATTAATCAATTACTCCTAGCAGAAGAGGGGGAACCGTATGGGATGCCAGGGATTGAACTTGGGTCAGTTGCATGCAAGACAAGCTCCCTTCCCACTGTACTATCACTCCAGCCCCATGATTTGTTTTTGTTTTTGTGTCATACCTGGCTGTATTCATAAATCACTCTTGGCAAGGCTCAAGGGACCATATGGGGTACTGGGGATCAGCCCCTGATAGTCCACATGCTAGGCAAGTGCTTTCCCTGCTCTTCTCTCTCTCTCTCTCTCTCTCTCTCTCTCTCTCTCTCTCCACACCCCCTCAAGCAATTTGATATAAAGGGGAGCTAAGGTGAGTCCCAGTGCAGGAGGGATCAGACACATACCTATTATACCAAGTTTGGCAGCAAACATCAGTGATACTCCAATGGGAAAGCCAAAAGCGTAGTAGCCAATGGCATTCAACACAGCCCCAATCTTCTGTTTTCCTACGCCTCTCAGGACTCCACCGCAGGTGCCCTAAAAATCCCAGACCAGGTCAATTAGTGAGCAAGGCCAGAATGCAAGTCTGGATGGAGTCCAACAGCTCTGCCTCAAACAAGCCTTGAACTTTAGGGAGGAGATAAAAGGAATCATTTTGTTTCAAAGGTTATGTTGACAACAACAATAAAAGCAATAAGCCACAGTAATTTTCATCAGAAAACCCCCAGGGATTCCATATATCTCTATTTACAACATACTTTGTAAGAGTATTAAAAAAAACAGAGCAGTTCCAGGAACAGAAACCTCAGTCACGACTCAGAAACAAATCTCGGAACCCAGTGCATTTTGGCAGAAATGCGTCCGGACCCGCAATAGGTTACTGTTGCCAGGCCATCCCAGGGGGTAAAGGTTGCTGTCCCTCTGCCTGCTCCCCCTAGGCGGCTCGGTGACTGCCATCCTCCAGAGGCCATTGGACAGTCAGGTTTGGACCCTCAATGAAGAGACACGAAGGGCCTCACAGGATGGGGGTGGAGCAGGCCCTTTCCTCCTTATCCCAATGAGACCCCAAGTCGCTGCCCATGAATGGCCTTTCTGGCTCTTGATCAAACTGCTCAACAGCCATGATCCCAGAGACTCAGGAACAAATGTTGGTTCTCAGCAGGTTTGGGCAGAAATCCCTCCAGATTTAAGTGTTAAAATTTCGGAATTTCAAAACCGCGTGGCCACTACTGCAGCCACGCAACATCATATGTTATTCATAACCAGCAAAAGAAAACAAATTGTCTACTGTTGCCTTTTCAGCAGATCTGAGTGTTGGGGTAAAATCCCAAATAATAATGGTGGGTCTGGTGTAAAAATATTGAATGTAATCAAAGTAGGGGCTGGAGCGATAGCACAGTGGGTAGGTCGTCTGCCTTGCACGCAGCCAACATGACTGACCCAAGTTCGATTCCTCCGCCCCTCTCGGACAGCCTGGCAAGCTACTGAGAGTATCTTGCCAGCACGGCAAAGCCTGGCAAGCTCCCTGTGATGTATTCGATATGCCAAACACAGTAACAAGTCTCACAATGTTACTGGGCCCACTTGAGCAAATCGATGAACAACTTGACAGTGACAGTGACAGTGAATCAAAAGAGAGAGAGAGTAATGTGGAAATCATCTGTCCCACTGGTAGGGGGAGGGCGGGGTATAGGGGTATACTGGGGTTTTTGGTGGTGGAGAATGGGCACTGGTGAAGGTATGGGTGTTGCATTGTATGACCGAAACTTAAACCCAAAAGCTTTGTAACTGCTCTCACGGTGATTCAATAAATAAAATTATAAAAAAAAAAAAAAGAAACCTCAGTCACAGCTGACTTCCAATCATGGCTAGAAAGTAAACTCTAGGCTCTGAACACTCAGGTGCAAAGCAGTAGCAAGTGTCATGCTATCTTCCGTTTTCTTTTTTCAGACATGGGGACCCAAGCGTGCAAGGTATGCATCCTACCACTTTGAGCTATCTCCCTGACCCTTTCAGTCTACACGTTTTTGAAGGGGCAGGGGTTGGGGCCACACCTGGCTATGCTGAGGGGTTATTCTTGGTTCTGCATTCAGGAATTAGTCCTGGTGGTGCTTGGGGGACCATATGGGATGTGGGATGCTGGGGATGGAACCCAATTTGGCAACATGCAAGACAGATGCTCTCTACCCACTATACCATCGCCCACTATACCAGCTTTCACACTATTCTTATCATGGCCAGTATTTAGTGATGGGTTCCACATCTTCAGAGTAACTATAATAAAGTAGAAGACATTCCACCCCCAACCCCCGTGTGTGTGTGTGTGTGTGTGTGTGTGTGTGTGTGTGTGTGTGTTTAGGGGAGCTGGTGGGGCAGGGAATTAAGATGGCAAATAAACCTAGCAATCTTGTCATGAGAATTGCTGGAACTGGGACTATGCCTCAAGGAACAATTTCAGGATCAGCAGGAGCCTGCAGCAGGCCAGTCTAGCTGGAGAGATAACGGAAAGGCGAGAGCACAGACTGGCTCGTGGGAGACCCACATTGACTCTTGATGCTTCCGTAGTATTATCTAGTATCATCTCCCAAGCACTAGCAAGAGTGACTTTCAAGAACCAAGCAGGGGATAGCTCCTAAGCACTGCTGCTGTGGTCCCCTGTCTCAATGTCCCCACAAAAGAAGAGCTGACAAGTGTACAGACAGTACACTCAGAGAAGGGCTTTTTTTTTTTTTTTTGGCCAGAATAAACTCAAAAATTCTGCTTGGAGGATTCAAGTCAAGATGCCTTCATCACCTGGCTGACTGTCATGATGGGCACTCGAGCTCCAGAGGCTGGAGAAGGGGGGTCTCTCTTACCCTGGAAGGCTATACGATTGGCTCACATTGCTCTTGAGTGCTCTCTTTTCAAAGATGAAATCACAGACATTTAGTTCAAAAGCTGGAAACAACACATTTTGCTTTGTATACTAGACAGAGGGAAAAATCCCTCAAAATACTCACAGCAAGTGCATCAAATAGGTGAAAGGGAACATAGATTGGCATCACAAGGCTCACGAGGGAAATGATGTCTCTGTTGGAGAAACAGACAATCATCAGTGGTCCAAACCCCACATGGAGAACTGCTGACCAGCTGATCTAATGGTCCGGTCCACTGGCAGTTCCACCAGAATAAACACTCTTCCTGGCCAAAGGGAGGGCATGCTAAAGCTGACTTACATTTTACTGGTTAAAGGTGATGAGATTTGGTCAGTTATTTTGGGACCTAGGAATAGTGTTGCCATGAATTCATATGAAATGCTTTCTCGCATTCTCATTCCCAACCCCCCAAATAACCTGCCAAACCATACCAAGTGGGAACATACTACTTTGAGGTAGGAGGTGACACCTCTATTGAACCAGTAAGAAATGCCAGTCAACTTTTTCAGAATGTGGGGGTCAGGCTGAACCTGCAGCCACAGGAAAGCTGCATGATGGAGAGACTGATGATAGCCGAGGATTCTGCTAATTCCTGGAGCTGTTTCACACATTTCCCATCCCCCAGACCTGCGGCAGGACGCTTCAGGGACACTGCTGCCAGCATTCCTGAGGTGACCCACGGGCAACCAGCTAAACAGTTAGGAATACCACCTGCTTCTCCCCACATCAGGGCTGTGTATTTACTTTGTTTTGCTTGTTTTGTTTTGGGGCCACACCTGGCTGTTCTCAGGCTTACTCCTGGTCCTGCACTCAGGGGTCACTCCTGGTGGGCTCAGAAACATATGGGGTGGGCCGCATGCAAGGCAAATATCTTAGGTGCTATACTTCCGCTAGGACTTTGTGACTGACCTGGCATTCACTAAGGGACTGGCTTAGAGGCTGCCCTCAATTCCAGTGGGAGCCTGAGAGGCCTCCCACCTAAGGCCTAGCAGAGAAGAGCAGGAGTAGAGGCTTTTCAGGAACCAAAACAAAACTCATTTCTTATTGAATCAAGTCACAGAAGGAAATCAGTCTGTCAGGATTAGCTGTCTGTGGAGACCATAGACCTCCCGCCTGAGAAGGAAGGCAGTCTTGGTGAAAACTGGCTTGGAAAGTCATTAGATGAGGGGGACTCAAGGGCCAGGTGAGCCACACCCAAGGGGGACTCTGGTTCCTGGAGGTGCCATTAGTGAGGTTTGGTTCTCTACAGAGTGATCCAGCATACAGAGAATCAGGGAAGATTAGTGCATTCACATTTTCTTTTTTTAAAGGGGGATGCCATCAAAAGTTGGTGTCAGAAGTTAGGGGCCAGAGTTACAGAGGTCAGGTCAGAGTGATAGTACACGGCTGATCCAGTTCAACCCCCAGCATCCCATATGGTCCTCCAAGTCTACAGAAGTGAAATCTGAGCACAGAGCCAGGAGTGAGTCCTGAACAACACTAAGTGTGCACCCCCGCTTAAAAAAAGAAGTCGACAAATATCAAAATCTCTTTTTTAAAAAAAATTCTGGCAGTTAAGGCTAAGAGAAGTAACTAAATCTTGGTAGTGAAAGGCTTGGAGTGTTTTAACTAACCCTGTATGAGCATCCCCTTTCTTTCTCAGCAGCAATCTTTATTTTTATAAATGAATTAATGTGTTTATTTAGTGGCACCAGGACTTGAATTCAGCACTCAGCTACATTGTCAGGGCTCTGGGCTCAGGGATCACGCTGCAGGCCCAAGCCACCCGCAGCCTCAGGTTCTCACACTGAGCTGCCAAGTCTGGCTGGCCAAGGACAGCTGGCGTGCCTCACCCCGCAGGTCTCCTGAGCACTGCTTGGGATGGCCCCCTCCAAAAATGAGTAACAACCCACAGTCCAAGACTAGAAAAGGAAGAATAGGTTGAACTTGAAGCTTCATTCATAGAGAAAAGTTATTATCAGGGCCCAGAGGAATAGTTCAGTAGCTTACAGCCAGGTATTCTTACTATAGTTAAAAAACTGAATTTATGCATGGCCCAAACCTAGTTGGGAAAAAGCAATCAACAAGATTTTTTTTTTTGAGTGGGACTAGGGAGATGGTTCAAAGGACTGGTGCACATCAGGCATGAGGGTCCTAACTTGACCCCCAGATGTGCCTACAGAGGGGGGTCCATATTCTCTGCTTACAGCGGAGGCATTGGTGAGTGTGCTCAGGCCAAACAGTGGGGCTGGAGGCCCAAGGAATGTGGAGTTATTGCACCAACTTAAAAATGGAACTTTAGGATTTAGAGATAGATTCTCTGGTCATTGACTAAACGCAGGTCATATTCTCTGGTCATTGAACAATGGCCCCAAGACGTGCCCTAGAACTTACATAGCTCATGCTCAGATTAAGGCCTACTTGAGCACTCCCTGCCACATGAAACTGACTCTTACTGAAAACGAGCAGAAAGTTCCTAAGCTGGAAAAAGATGTTCAGGAGTAGAATAGGATAACTCAAAAGAAAGTGGAAAAAAAATTTGTTTTTAAATGTATACAAACAAAACAAACATGGTCCTCCCGATTTTGCTCAAGCGGGCCCAGTAACGTCTCCATTTTGAGACTTGTTGTTACTGTGTTAGGTTGTTTGGTATAACAAATACGTCACGGGGAGCTTGCCAGGCTTTGCTGTGCGGGCGAGATACTCTCGGTAGCTTGCCGGGCTCCGAGAGGGGTGGAGGCTCGGCCGGGCTGGCTGCATGCAAGGCAAACACCCTATTGTTTTGTCATCTTTTTTATTTCTGAGTAAATGTCAACTGGTGTTACTTCGATGACTTAAGTTTCTTGATTCTTTGTATACCTGGAAAAATTGTAAGTGCATGCAAATTGTTAGTTTTACTTCTTTGGCTTTGCTAATTCTTGTAATATTTTAAGTACTCTCAGCTATTAAATTCTATGATGCAGCTAAGCTTGGAGACAATTTGATCCTCTTGAGGTTTATTAAGCTTTATTTGGTGGGATCAGAGGAGCATTCATTCTAGGGATAAATTTTCTTTCAGTAATAAGGCAGAATTTTTTTGAGAACTCTGAGACCAGCAAGCTACCAAGAGTATATCGTCTACATGGCAAAGCCTGGCAAGCTACCCATGACGTATTTGATATGCCAAACACAGTAACAACAAGTCTCGTAATGGAGACATTACTGGGCCCGCTTGAGCAAATCGATGAACAACAGGAGGACAGTGACAGTGACAGTGACTAGCATATGAAGCGTGATTCATCCCAGCCAGTGCAGCCCTGCAGATTCCTAAATCCCACTGGGGTAAGCCCAGGTAACACTGGCACTGCAGAACCCTCACAGCACTTCATCCTTGGGCCTTCACTTAAAGCTCTAGCTGGGAATGCCAGGAGAGCACACCATTCCCTGCCTCTGCCCCAACCCTCTCAAAAGGCAAAATGTTACGTGCCTTTCGGGATCAGAAAAGTATAGTGAAGAATAGAGAGCATGACTCATGTACTTTGATCTTTGTCACAGAAAAAGAGCAAAACAAACAAAAACACCTTTTTCTCTATGATACATACTTGTCACTGGTGAATATATAGCCAACCACATCCTTCAGTATTGCAAACAAAACACCCACTACAAGTCCACACAAAGCTGGAAAAGATAAAGAAACAACCAGAAGTGAAATTTCTTCAATGTGATTAATCTTAGTATTGACTTCCCATAATACATTTGTGCCAATGATTTAAGAAACATAATTGGGGCCAGAAAGATAGTATAGTAGTTAGTGTGCTTGTCTTGCATGCAGCAGACCCTTCTTCCATCTCCAGCACCCCCTTTGGTCCCTGGAACCCTACTAGGTATGATCCCTGAGTACAGAGCAAGGAGTAAATCTTGAGCACTGCTCAAGGTATGGCCCAAAGATATGAAAAAAAAATCTAATAAAAAAGAAATTAATTTTAATAGTCTTTCTTCCTTTTGCCTATGAAAAAAAGGATGACTAAGACCCGATGATTCTGACTCCTTTAGAAAAGATGCTCATTGAGTCAACACAATCAGGAACCAACAAGAGTCCAGCAGCTTGCACTGAAGAACATGAAAACTGGACACACAAACGAATCTCAGAACTGAGTGGCTCTTGACAGAAATGCCTCCGGACTTTGCATTAGGCCACCTTCACTGGGCCACTCCAGATGGGAGCGGGTGCTGCCCCTCCACCTGTTCCCTTCCAAAACTCATTGGAAAATCCAGGTACAGGGCCAGCAGTGACAATACACGCCAGGCCTCATGGGGTAGGGGAGGAGTCGGTCCTTCTCCTCCCCCACCTTGATGGGACCCTGAGATGCTGCCCATGAATGGTCCCTGGTTACATATTAAGCTCCTTAATGGTCACAATCCCAGAGACACACAAACGAATCTTGGAACCGAGTGGCTCTTGTAGAAATCTCTCCAGACCTAATTATTAAAATTTTAGAATTCCAAGATCGCACGGCTGCGTGTAGCCATGTAACATTATATGCTATTCATAACCAGCAATACAAAACAAATTGTCTAATGTTGCCTCTTCAGCAGGTCTGAGTGTTGGGGGAAAATCCAAATAATAATGTTGGGACTGGTGTTGAAATATTGAATGCAATCAAAGTAGAGAGAGAGTAATGTGGAAATTATTTGTCACACAGGCGGGGGAGGGGTGAGATGGGGTACACTAGGGTTGTTGGTGGTGGAAAATGTGCACCGGCGAAGGGATGGGTGTTCGATCATTGTATGACTGAGACTCAAACATGAAAACTTTGTAACTATTCTCATGCTGATTCAATAAATTAAAAAAAAAAAAGAAAAAAGAACATGAAAACTGCCAAACCGAGCTATGGTCCAGGAACACAGGAACATGGGGAACCAGTCAAAAGTCTTTGGTCAGGAGCTGAGGCAACAGTACAGTGGGTAGGGTGTTTGGCTTGCATGAGACCTGGGTTCAATCCCCAGCACCCCATATGGCCTGAGCAACACCAGGAGTAATTCCTGAGCACAGAGCCATGAATAAGCCCTGAGCACCATCGGGTGTGTCCATTCCTCACCCCCTTTTCCCCAAAGAAGTCTTTGGTCAAAAAAGTAAGGCAGTAATGACTAGAAGGATAGTACAGTTGGTAGGGAGCTTGCCTTGCATGTGGTCAACCTGAGTTCGACTCCCATATGGTCCCCTGAGCACTGCCAGGAATAATTCCTAAGTGCAAAGTCAGGAATAACTTCTGAACATTGCTGGTTGTGACCCAAAAACCAAAACCAAAACCAAACCAAACAAAAACAAAAAGTAAGAAAGCATATGAAGACAAATGGCTTTGGAATGATTTCAACAGTCCCAAGTGAAATATGATGCATTGCTTTATATTACTAAATAGACTGGGGAATAAAAGAAGCCTAAAAAATAAGCATTTCAGTTGAGTTTATATATGTCAGTTGCTAAGAAATTCTGATATGTACATTTTTAGTTTTCTTGTTCGTTTTTTGGGAAGGTCTCACCCTCTGGTGTTTGCAGGTTACTCCTGGCTTGGTGCTTGGGGACCATGTGGAAACCCAGGATGCTCACATGCAAAGCATGTGCCACAGTCCCTTGGGCCATCTCCTGACCCTAAAAGCATAAAGTATTAGATGGTACTAAACAAGACAGCATCAGCATCAGCATCAGCTGAAGTGTTTCACTCACCAGCACACAGCAGGACAGTGACGCAGGAGTGACGGGCCTGCTCAGCATCTCCTGCCCCCAGGGCATTGCCCACTCGGACACTGGCTGCCACACCAAGGCCAAAAGGCACCTAAGAAGAAACAATCACAAATCCCAAGAAATAAGAATGACCATGCCCGAGGGTGCCTGAGAGTCAGATATGAGGGTTCTAGATGTGGGTCTATCACACACGAGCTGTGTGACAGAGTAAACTGCTCAGCTTTGCTGGCGTGAAATGCAACTTCTTTACTACTAAGAAATATAAACGGCTTCCAAAATTACTACCTGTACCATGGGTCAGAACAGAACTTCTTAATGATGATTTGAGGGCAAGGCATCTCTTTAACTGGCTAAACATACATAATCAAGACTCAGTTCAACCTAACTACATTTGACACATTAACACTGTGACGGTATGTAATTTGAAAAACTTAAGTGAACTGTGAAGAAGCACTTAGAACAAAGCCTGGCACGACATAGAAACTCAATAAACATGAATGGAATTCAACATTCCATATATAAAATTACCCAATACACTAAAATATATTCCTTTAACTGCCAAACCAAACATTCTAACCATCAATTACAAAACCTTAATAAACATTGATGAAATTCCAACATCCCACATATTTAATTACCGATATTTTGACATATATCTCTTCAAATGCCAATTTGAACATTTTAACCATCAGATATAGAAGTCAGAAACTATAATCATCAATAGATCATTATTCAAACCCTGGGCCATCCTTATAACCCTTTATTATTCTGTGAGACAGTGTTGGCCTCAGGGATTATTTGGGTAACATAAATTGTATAAAACTGTGGTTTTTCGCTCTCATATCTCATATCTTTTGAGGGGGATGTCTCCTAAAAATGCTCAGGAGCCTCTGAGGCATCTCCTGGCAATTCGTGGCTAAATAGGCATGTATTCAATGCAAGGATACAAGAACGTGGTGCCTTCTGGGCACTGCAGGTCACCCCAACATTGTTCAAAGGCTCCAGGCTACCCTCACCGATATTCCAGAGACCATATGGTGAGGAGGAGCCAACCAGGGCAGGCCTCATGCAAGGTAAGTGCCTTACCCCGGTACTGTATCTGCGACTCTCCTCATATATGCATTAAATAACTCTCACGTCTCCTTTAGCTTCTCATTCTCATTCCCACTCTAAGCAATAAGAGCCTTCTGGTTTCTTGTTGTTTTCAGAACTACACTAAGTTGAGTTAGCAAAACAATGTATGCCTTGCACCTGGTCAATTCCAGTTTGATCCCAGCACTGCATTATGATTCTCCGAACACTGCCAGGAGTGTTCTCTGAGCACAGAGCCAGGAGTTAAGCCTAAGCACAGTTGGGAGTGACCTGAACCCCCTCATTTCAAACATGTGTACATATTTGACAATGACTTGACAATATAAAAAAAGGTAAGTCTTGTGTGCCCAAATGCATAGAATTCAGGGTTCAGTTCAACCTGTCTCAGATACTGAACACCCTTCCCTGTCCAAATGCCTGTCAAGTTCCAATCCTGATGATAACAGAGAAGCAACTGTGAGCACTGGCAGTAAGAGAGAGACTGGCTCCAGAGAGAGGAGCAAGAGTCCTGGCCGGAGGCTGAGCCACCAGGAGGCGCAGTCCAGACCAGCTCTGATCCACGAGACCCCAGCAGCCCGGAGAGGCCAGAGGCCCCAGTGACTCAGTGAGCAGAACTGGGAGGCCCACTGTAGAGCCATAAGCAGCATGGTCTCAGCCCAGTCCTGGAAAATTCCTCTTGCATTGCTGAACACAGAAAGACGGGGCTACATTACAGAAGTAAAGTGAGAGACCCTTGCAGGGTGAGCACCTCAGGATGACCACTTCTTATATCTTGGGGGAGTGAGTGGGACACAGGAGGTGAGTACTGGCTGACAGGTCACAGGGATTGATTGCAAAGCAGGTAGTTTTTGCCACTGAGCAATCACCAGAATGTGGGTCTCTGCAGCCAGGTGTGTGTGACCCAGTCACTGAGACAGCAACAAAGAGAGGGAAGAGGGAGAAACCAGCACGCTCCTTCACAGGTCGCACCTTTGCACTCAGTCCCTGCTGCTCCTTCCCCTTTGAGGGGATGAAGTCTGCTGGGGAAATAAAAATCTCTCATTATAAAGAAAGGAAAGCCATGCCAGAAACTCATGTGGGAAACCAGCGTGCTCATTCCTGAGTGCAAATGGGCTGCTATGGACCACCTGATTTGGAGGGAACATCAAAGAGCTCATCCCCACAAATGATCAAGAAAAACAAATCAAAAATAACCACCAATCTCAGAGGAAACAGATGCTCTGAGGAAGAGGGGGGGAGGGGGAATTATTTGAATGTTCAACTTAGTATCTTCAGAGCTATTTAAAAGGTAATCCAAGGGCTGGATCGTTAGCACAGCAGGTAGGGCATTTGCCTTGCACGCGGCCAACCTGGGTTCAATCCCTGGCATCCCATATGGCCCCCCCTGAGAACCACCAGGAGTAACCCCTGTGTATCGCCAAGTGTGACCCAAAAAGATAAATAAATAAATAAATGGTAATCCAGTATAAATCCAGATTCCTATAAAGAGGTAGGCACCTGCCTTGGCTGTGGCTAACCCAGGTTCGTTCCTGACACCCATATGGTCCCCCAAGCCCAGGTATGATCTGAGTGCAGAGCCTGGAGTAAGCCCTGTGAATAATCAACTGTAACCGCCTCCCCCGCCAAACACACAACCAAGAAACCAAGACCAATCAGGGAGATGAGCACATGCTTAGCACATGTGAGGCTTTGTTACCACACATGTGCCCAGCACTGCTGGGTGGAGCGCTGATGGCCCCCTGAGCACTGCTGGAGTGACTCCCATAGGAAAGCCCAAAAACAAAACTAATAAGATTTAATAACAAAAAAACACGTTGATTTGAGAGTTCATTTTGGAGTCACACTTCGAGGTGTTCCCAGCAACTCCCAGCCTGGAGCTTGAGGGTGACTGCCAGAAGTGCTCAGGGGACCATGTGGTGCTGAGGACTGAACCTGGGTCTCCAGTAAGCAACATCTGTGCTTATGGCTTTGAGCTATGCCCCTGTGCCCACAAACAGGTGTTTTTAATTTTAATGAAAAGAGGTTAAAAAGCAAGATCAATCTAGGAGGACAGCTTCTACTTACAGGAAATTTAGTATACAGGGGAAAAAAGTATATAGGGTACCCCCCACCCCTGAGTTGGGAAAAATAAAACTCTTAGAGTAAATCAAATGCTAGTCATAGGAGTAAAACAGCACCCCAGAAATACACACCCTTGTGAAATTTTATGAAAAAATAAATCTTTGTCATTTCACTGTTACTGGGTAATTTTTTTTAACAATGCCAAAAGTCAATTCCAGGAGATCTGAGCTCTGCTACTGAGCCATATATCCCAGGCAGAGAAAGAAGAGAGAGCGAGAGAGAGAGAGAGAGAGCGAGAGAGAGAGAGAGAGAGAGAGAGAGAGAGAGAGAGAGAGAGAGAGAGAAAGAGAGAAACAGGTTTCTATAAAGGGAAAAGAACCAGATTAAGATCAGAGTCACACTGGGCCAGAGATGTAATACAGCGGATAAGTCATTACTTTGCTTGCACATACTTGGCACCCCATATGGTCCCCCAAGCCCTGCCAGAAGTGAGCCCTGAAATGTAGTCCCGAACAAAATAAAACAAAACAGATTATATGGAAGTAAACCATGAGGTATGCACATTCAAAAGTCTCTATTTTTCCCTTGCCTATTTTTAATTTGGCTGACTATAGAAATCTAGGCTCAAAGCAATTATTTTATATATGTACAAATAAATTTTTTATTGAACGACTGTGAGATCCAGTTATAAAGCTTTCATGTTTCAGTCATACAAAGATTGAACACCCATCCCTTCACCAGTGCACATTTTCCATCACCAATGTCCCCTGTATCCCTACAAGCCCCCTTCCCCCACCATCACAACCCACTCCCTGCCTCAATTTCCCCTATACTTTCTCTCTACTTTTGGCCATTATGGTTTGCAATATTTAGATACTGAGAGGCTATCATGTTTGGTCCTTTATCTACCCAAAGCAATTATTTTTGAAGGTGTTGCTTAATGCTCTCCTGGCATTCAGAATGACTAATGTGAGCCTAATCTTGTTTTATTTGCTTTCTGGGTCACATCTGGCAGTTGCTCAAGGATGACTTCTGGCTCTGTGCTCAGGTATCACTTCTGGCAGGGCTCGGAAGACGAAATGTGGTGCCAGGGATTGAACCCAAATTTGGCCACGTGCAAGGCACGCACCCTACCTCCTCTGCATACTATCACTCCAGCCCCATGCCTCCATATAACCATAGGGAGCAAAATCTTTGACTCAATACTTCAAAATTTCTTTCTTAGGGACTGGAGCAATAGTACAGTGGATAGGACATTTGCCTTGCATGCAGCCAATCTGGGTTTGATTCCCAGCATCCCATATGGTCCCCCGAGCACCGCCAGGAGTAATTATTGATTGCAAAGCCAGGAGTAACCCCTGTGCATCACTGGGTGTCACCCAAAAAGCAAATAAAGAAATAAATTTCTTTTTTTAAAAAAATCTAAGAAGAAATGGATGAGAGAATCTATTGGCTTTATTCCTGGGGACAATTTGGACATACGGAAAAAAAAATTAAATCAGAAGAAACAATGTAAGGATCAAAGAGCCCTGAGGCATTTGAGAGGAAGATGGATTCAGACCAAGGTCTTGCTCTCTGGGTGACTCAGTTGCAGTGAGGGTATATGCCACTTCCATCAAAAGGCAAAAGGACAAAGAGAAGGAAGCTGTGCCACCTCGGTCATGTCCTGAACAGAAGCAGAATAATGCTGACCACCATGAAAGCCAGAGAAACATGATTCACCTTTTATGCATAAAGGTCTTGGCAGGGAGTAGGGTGAGGGTCAGTAGAGACTGGAGTGGCATTTCCTTCCACACTGACGCAAGACCATCACTAAATTTGCAAACAATACTCACCAGCGTTTGCAATATCACATTAGGGGCCAGAGGGCTTGGCCGAAGGGCAGCAAGCATGTACACCAGAGGCCTTGAGTTGCATCCCCAGCACTGCCCGCCATGG